TAAGTAACTTGTTCCGTTTTTTAGCCTTTCTAAAATCGTTGTTTGCAGATCAATAGCCGGTTTTGTTTACGGCTCTTGTTCCGAATGCCTTTTTCTATGGGTTTACCGGTATAATAAACCATAGGTTTTTGACCAATCAGATCACCCGTACTATCTCAGTTATTTTATAAAATGTGATAATCAATGCCATGTAAAGTACGTTAAAATTAGCCGGTGTCGGCAGTTAGCCCCCGATGGTTTAAAGCATACGGATGAAGATTATACATCAAATGATGCCTGTTCGGACTACATACTACACACTGTTTTCTTCCGTTTCTTTCTTATCTTATGACTCCTATCATGTATTTTAAGCAAAAATGACAACCTGATTTTGGGATATCCATTCTAGTCATAACCATTAAAAGCTACATGGCGCCTCTCCTGTAACGATTCCAGGAGGGGTGCCTCTCCTTTAACGGATCCCAGAAGACTTTAAATCGGCCCAGTTCCTTCTCGCATTTAAAGTGGCGAATTGCAACACTTTGTTAGACGTAAAATACAGACACGCCAAGCCATCAATAATAAGGACCTTACGATCTGAAACCACAATGAATAACCGACCTTCCGCTCTTTCAACATTTTTTGGGATTATTTCAACTGTTCCGTATAACCCCATACATTTATGATGCATACATGTTTCGATTCTATTCATATTAAACTCTTTGTGAGAAAAAGTATGAAATTGCTGCATGCATAATAAATGTATGGAGTTATACGGAAATTTTACCCAAACCTATGGAAGAAAAGACGCTTTGTAACAGAATATGTGTTTTGCCAAAACGGGGGAGTCAGACGTTGAACTTAGGACGCTTCGAACCAATCAACAGAATTCACACCAAAAAACAATTTTAAAGGGTCTAAATACACATTATCAAACAAATTTTGAATTTTTATTTGTTAGTGAAGTTCGTCGCATAGGAAGCTCGACGCTTATCCCGGAGACGATCCTAAGACATAAGCAGACGGATAGAACGTGGTGGACGATCCAAACTCGATCAGACGAACTTAACTGAGCCAGACGTCGAAGTTATCATGAACCTAGCTCACTAAGTTTGGTTCGTCTCATGAAAAGTTCGACGTTTAGCCTAGGCCTAAGTTAACAGATAAAAATGTTTTCCGATCCTTTCTTAACTGTTCCAAGAGGGGGAATCTTTAGAAAGAATTTTATTAAGCAGAAATCGAAAATGTAACATTGAGTTAGCCTAACCTCAAGGACAGCAAATAGCCGTGAGAGTGGACATCGCTGCTCACAGATCTAATCGAAATTAGACCGTAATTATCGGACCACTGAACAAAAACGCACTAAGACGAAAGCAGAAAGACTATTTTATATTACAAAACCGTCGAGAGCGAAAAATATACTTGGATGGCCAAGATTCAAGGCGATAAATTCGCTAAGTAGATTGTCCCGCGAAACTTGAAAAAGTTGGGCCAATCTTTTCAAGTTGACTCGTTGTTGCCAAGCATGCGCAGTTTCGTGACATAGCCCCTTTAAAGCCTCGGCCAAATGCCTGCTGTGAATTTCTGAACCGGCCTAAGCCGTTAATAACGTGCATATTTAAACTCGTGACTGACAACCTTGTTCCCAGGTCTTCTCGGAGTAAATAAATTAATCCCCTCGCATTTTAATTAGGTGTTCATTAGCCCTGCTCTTCCCTTCAAACAATCAAAGCTGCACCCAGCTTTTTAGACAGTTGATTCGAGGGTTATGTAATATATTCCCCCCGAAAAGAACAAACGAATCCCAGCTTATGTAAAAATAAGGCTTAAAATATTCTTGTACAAGGGTTTCGTCCACTGAAAATGAAAATTACTCAATTTCCTGATGGATTCCATCTTTAAATAATCTTAGTGGTAAAAGACGTCATCGAGCAAACTGATGACGTATTATATTCAACATGATAACGAAGGGTTCTGTGTAATTTCGAATCGACAACCTTTTAATGAAAGAGCAGAGGGAGCCCAAACGCAAACAGTTGATATCTATAAGCTTCAAAGGTTATATATACTGATACTATTTTAATGAAAAATAAAGTTGATTTCATTTTTTTTAGTTTCTTCCTATCACAACAAACCTCCCCCTCGCGGGAGGATTCTTTAATTGTGATTTCTAAACAACAGAAAATAACAGGTACCGATAGACCCGAAAAGAGGAACAGCCTCCACTGCAAACTTTGTCTGGGTTTGGCTTGAGTATTAACCATTCAGGGATATGCTTGGGAATTTAATTGAAGATTTTGATCGTAGATCATATCATGATGGGAGCGTCTTTCCATAAATCGTTGAAATTTTCACCAGTTCTCAGTCTGACAATGGCCGTTTTCACACAAGAGATAGATTAGGGAGGTTAAGCAAATACAACGACGACGTCGACAACTTCAAAAAACAATAGGTGTAATGATCAAAACAACAGCTCTGCACGTATATCACGCTTTTTAGTACATTTCTTTGAAGTCCGCTGCACGACTACGACCTGAAACCTCATGATTTGACGTTTTATGGAGGACGTGGACAGACGACGTCGAATTTTCCTTCCTCTTTTTGAAATTGAATAAAATTCTTAAGAATTCAACTCCAGGAAAAGTCGCCTGCATTTGACATATTGAGCGGGTCGAAATAGACGCAATTAAGTTTGAAAGAATGCAAATTCATTTTTTTAGCGGCGTTTTCACTGCCGTCCGTCGTCGTCGTTGCTTAAGTTCCCCATTGATTTAGCAACAGGACGGGGACGTCAGTTGACGACGGGAAAGCGCGTGGAAAGGACTAAACACGACTTCCGGTGCTCAATTTGCCGCTCTGCCATTGGTCAAGCCAGTTGTTTGATTTGCGCGCGCCGTCGTCAACTGACGTTCCCGTTCTGTTGCTAAATCAGCCTTATCGGTTTCTGGACGGGTTATCCGTTGGCCGGATGTTTCGTATCACACGGATAATAAGTCTGCCTTAATGAGAAAATGTTAAACAAATTGATCTTTATTGTAAAACCATCATTACACATGTATTACACATAGACAAACTTGATTGCCAACAAGGCAACCGAGCTAAGAAGCGAGGTTGCCTCGGCGGCAGAATTATAACGCCGCGCAATGTAGGCAAAAACTCTCAAATTCTGCGTAACCCTCTAAAATTCGCATTTTTGACCTTTTTTGGGTGTAAGTAAGCGGACCCCATATTTAGGTGGTGACGTCATGGTCTTGTCACAGTTTACAACTCGTGGTCCGAAATTGGGTGATTCAGTGTGCAGCTGTTCGTTGTCTCTTCAAGAGGACCTAACAGGTGAGCGAGCTTTAATACGATTTCTAGTTTGAAAGGGCAATTATTGCTCTGATCTGGTTTACTTTCTAAATTGCGTTTAAAGCAGCAGCTTTAAAAAATAGGGTTTTACGCTCAAATTTTTGTCAGAACCAGCTTGTTCTTTGCAGCTCGATTTACATTGAGGTAGCATGTTCGCTTCTCGACTCTGAAACAGGGTTTTCGGTGCTCTCTTTCCCTTTGTGAATTATATTTTAAGCGGTAGTTGATCAAGGCATAGGGTTATATTCACAAAACTTTTATCAGAACCAGCGTGTTCTTCGCAGGTCGATTTACATTGAGCCAGTCCTCACCCCCTGTGAGGAATGCAATGTATTTGCGGACCTTTTATTTTAGAATTTATGCGAGAGTTTTTGTCATCCGGCATGTTTTTTTGCTGCTCGATTTACGTTGAGACAGCCCAAAACTCCCGTGTGGAATGCAACGAATTTGCGGACCTTTTGTTTTAAAGACTATAATCATTATGCCTTTCAAGAGACTCTTTGTCCTGTGACACTTGCTCATTAGATCTTTCTATTTTATTCAAGTTTATATTTTTATTCCTTTTATACATTCCACCCCATTCTTGCGCTTTTCACACATTTTAGTTTACACCAATTTTTTCTTACGTATATTACCACGCGAAACATTTTTCTTATCCCTGATGACGCTGTTGCTCAAAATTTAATTATTGTTTATAATTTCAGCAGTCAAAGGCCTCATTTGAACTATCCTTTTCTTTACAACGTTTATAGTTTTGATACAATTGAATTTTCCATGAAACATAAGTAATAACTTGCTCATATTTACCAACAAAGCTTCAAGCCATGTTGTTATTGCTTAAGTAATGATCCCGGTAAGGTGGATAGCAATTTCCTTTGTTATGCGGCAACGGTGCTTTCCCCACATAGGAATGTTCTCATTTTTACACAGAAAATGCAGAAACCTACATGAAGGCCGTTTACGCAATAAAATGCATTTACACTCCACTTTGAAAGGGTGTTTTTTTGTGTTAAAAGATTTTTCGAGAGTTGAAAACAATAGCCAAGAAAAGTTTACAATTTTACATGTTCCCACATAGGATATCTTTGTTATTCAAACTGAGACCAGATTTTGTTATATGGAAGATGGTTGGAAAGTAAGGATGAATATATGTACTGCTTTATGAAGTATTTTTAACTTTTGCTGTTTAAGCAAATCAGAAGTAAGTAAAGACAAAAGAAAAGTTAGCACCTTTTTTGCATTCCAATATGTTCGTTGCTGTTGTTGCTATCGTTCTTATCTGGACCGTTTCTTAATAATTAAAAAGTGAAAGCCTACAATGTGCCAAAGTTGTTGTTTTGAAGTTGTGTTGAAGCACCTTTCTGGGGAACTAGCTGGTTCTCACAACAAACAGACGATTACTTTGTTCAATTGACTCCTTTTTATTCTTTAGTCCAATGTCACGCAGTTAGCACAACTTCTATTTTACAATTCTCTGCTAAATCAGTGTAACACCCATTTTTATATCAGCCAGGAAACCAGCTGCTTAGTGCAAACCGAATGCTGACGTAAGTCTGATCCGATTGGTTAAACAGTCTCATTAGGGTAATGGGTTCATGATAACCGTCACGAATATAGAGATGTATTTAGTATAGTAGAACAAAGTTCATGACTAGGTGTAGTATGATAAGTTAATGTTTGGTGTAGTTAGTGTAATTAGTGTAGTTGATGTAGTTGGTGTAGTCGGTGTAGTTAGTGTTGTTCGTTTGGTTACTAATTGCTGTAGTTCGTGTAGTTGGTGTAGTTACTGTAGTGAGTGTAGCACGTATAGTTGGTGTAGTTGCTGTAGTTATTGTAGTTGGTGCAGTTGGTGTAGTATGTGTAGTTGCTGTAGTTAGTGTGTACGCTAACTACACTAACTGCACTAACTACCCCAACTACAGCAATTACAGCAATTACGGAAACCGTAGTGGGCTAATTGGACATGGAATGTCTCTATATTTGTGACGGTTATCATGAATCCATTACCCTCATTAGCGTGAAATCTTCGAGATAACTGCTTTGTCGAAATGACTCTTCAACCGAAGTTTTCGCTATTAAGCTTAAGGTGATTCCCAGGTTTTGCACTGCGCATCTCTTACTGCGCATAACAAGATAACCTCCGTAAAAAAGAGCATGTGAAGTAACATCATTAAAATGAAGTTGACCGAAGAGAAACTCTATTGCAATTTTTGCTTGCGGTTGTTTTTTTCCGAGGTGAGACTCAATGTGGTGGGAATGTGCATAACGTAAGCAGTAAGCGTGTTGCTGAGTTCGACTTCCTCACGGAGAACCTCGATAGTGGATGTTAGTGCTTATTCACTTTGATTTTCATTTAAACGCTTTCTTTATCACATTGTGTCCTAAATGTGATATCTCGATGTAAATTCTGTAAAAACGGATTTTTTAATACTTCCTTCCCCCTTTCGCATACATTCTATTTTGAAACTCGCCCCAGTCCTCTCTCAAAAATCAAGGAAAATGCATTTGGCGCGCACGTTCTGCAGCTCTACCGCAAAAACGAGTACGGTGACCCCCATTTTTTATTTCATGATTTTAATAAGGACAGTGTTTCCTTTCGGTGAGAAAAAAATTGGCACAAATCTATGTTCAGTTTTTTGGCAATTTTACTAAATTTTACGGATTGAGCTATCACGTGTCGAATAGCCCGTGTCCAATTTAATTCTACTTTGGAGCGTAAAGTAAAAACAAGGGCATTAAAGGGCATTTTTCTGTTACGTAAGTGGATNTTTACACCAATTTTTTCTTACGTATATTACCACGCGAAACATTTTTCTTATCCCTGATGACGCTGTTGCTCAAAATTTAATTATTGTTTATAATTTCAGCAGTCAAAGGCCTCATTTGAACTATCCTTTTCTTTACAACGTTTATAGTTTTGATACAATTGAATTTTCCATGAAACATAAGTAATAACTTGCTCATATTTACCAACAAAGCTTCAAGCCATGTTGTTATTGCTTAAGTAATGATCCCGGTAAGGTGGATAGCAATTTCCTTTGTTATGCGGCAACGGTGCTTTCCCCACATAGGAATGTTCTCATTTTTACACAGAAAATGCAGAAACCTACATGAAGGCCGTTTACGCAATAAAATGCATTTACACTCCACTTTGAAAGGGTGTTTTTTTGTGTTAAAAGATTTTTCGAGAGTTGAAAACAATAGCCAAGAAAAGTTTACAATTTTACATGTTCCCACATAGGATATCTTTGTTATTCAAACTGAGACCAGATTTTGTTATATGGAAGATGGTTGGAAAGTAAGGATGAATATATGTACTGCTTTATGAAGTATTTTTAACTTTTGCTGTTTAAGCAAATCAGAAGTAAGTAAAGACAAAAGAAAAGTTAGCACCTTTTTTGCATTCCAATATGTTCGTTGCTGTTGTTGCTATCGTTCTTATCTGGACCGTTTCTTAATAATTAAAAAGTGAAAGCCTACAATGTGCCAAAGTTGTTGTTTTGAAGTTGTGTTGAAGCACCTTTCTGGGGAACTAGCTGGTTCTCACAACAAACAGACGATTACTTTGTTCAATTGACTCCTTTTTATTCTTTAGTCCAATGTCACGCAGTTAGCACAACTTCTATTTTACAATTCTCTGCTAAATCAGTGTAACACCCATTTTTATATCAGCCAGGAAACCAGCTGCTTAGTGCAAACCGAATGCTGACGTAAGTCTGATCCGATTGGTTAAACAGTCTCATTAGGGTAATGGGTTCATGATAACCGTCACGAATATAGAGATGTATTTAGTATAGTAGAACAAAGTTCATGACTAGGTGTAGTATGATAAGTTAATGTTTGGTGTAGTTAGTGTAATTAGTGTAGTTGATGTAGTTGGTGTAGTCGGTGTAGTTAGTGTTGTTCGTTTAGTTACTAATTGCTGTAGTTCGTGTAGTTGGTGTAGTTACTGTAGTGAGTGTAGCACGTATAGTTGGTGTAGTTGCTGTAGTTATTGTAGTTGGTGCAGTTGGTGTAGTATGTGTAGTTGCTGTAGTTAGTGTGTACGCTAACTACACTAACTGCACTAACTACCCCAACTACAGCAATTACAGCAATTACGGAAACCGTAGTGAGCTAATTGGACATGGAATGTCTCTATATTTGTGACGGTTATCATGAATCCATTACCCTCATTAGCGTGAAATCTTCGAGATAACTGCTTTGTCGAAATGACTCTTCAACCGAAGTTTTCGCTATTAAGCTTAAGGTGATTCCCAGGTTTTGCACTGCGCATCTCTTACTGCGCATAACAAGATAACCTCCGTAAAAAAGAGCATGTGAAGTAACATCATTAAAATGAAGTTGACCGAAGAGAAACTCTATTGCAATTTTTGCTTGCGGTTGTTTTTTTCCGAGGTGAGACTCAATGTGGTGGGAATGTGCATAACGTAAGCAGTAAGCGTGTTGCTGAGTTCGACTTCCTCACGGAGAACCTCGATAGTGGATGTTAGTGCTTATTCACTTTGATTTTCATTTAAACGCTTTCTTTATCACATTGTGTCCTAAATGTGATATCTCGATGTAAATTCTGTAAAAACGGATTTTTTAATACTTCCTTCCCCCTTTCGCATACATTCTATTTTGAAACTCGCCCCAGTCCTCTCTCAAAAATCAAGGAAAATGCATTTGGCGCGCACGTTCTGCAGCTCTACCGCAAAAACGAGTACGGTGACCCCCATTTTTTATTTCATGATTTTAATAAGGACAGTGTTTCCTTTCGGTGAGAAAAAAATTGGCACAAATCTATGTTCAGTTTTTTGGCAATTTTACTAAATTTTACGGATTGAGCTATCACGTGTCGAATAGCCCGTGTCCAATTTAATTCTACTTTGGAGCGTAAAGTAAAAACAAGGGCATTAAAGGGCATTTTTCTGTTACGTAAGTGGATAAACAATACATTAAGGTCAAATTCTGTGCCTTACCACATGCATCATTAAAAATATTTTTCCTTTTTGTCTAGTTTTGGGCTGCGCGCGGTTTTTGTTAAAGGGTCCAAAATAGCCGTATTTGTCAGCATTGTGACGTCAAAACGAGCACAGTGACCCCCACTTTTTATTACCTTTTTATCATCTTCTTGACTTGTTACATCAGTGTACCAAGTTTCATCGACAATCTATGTTAGGTTCTTTTACTAGGGAATCACCTTAAGTTAACTGGCCAATATAAAACAAGGAGAACAATATAACGAGGAGTACATGTAATCGGAGCTTAGGAGAGTGCGTTCGATATGTTTGTTAGGCACACAGGTAGCAGTTGAGGCGGAAGGGTAGTTGCGATATGGATAAATATGATTATGGCATATTTTGAACGTAAGGGTTGCGTACAGCGAAACCTCTATTTAAACTGTGTATCATTATAACAACGTTTTCAAAAGATATCGTATGGTTCGGTATCAAGTGCTTGTAATCGGAGGAGACATTGGCCACGGTGCGTATAGATGGAACATTTTGTTTTACTGGCGCGAGGGCGCAGTTTCTCAAAGGCCGATTAGTTCTTAACCTGGGATTCTTTTTCCTCTTCAAAAACATTTCTTCGGATAATTTTCTCTGTTATTTTTAGGAGCATCCAGTCATCAACTTGTTGAAAAAATTAATTACATTGAATTTATTGTTTAAAAAGCTTTCACATCTGAATTTTAACTTCGCATTAACCCTGTCAAAGCCTTCAATGGAACGTGTGTGCGGCTCGCGTCAATAACTTTTCCAGTAATTTGGTCGAGCGTGTTGATTTCAGTGACTCGAGAGTGCCGCTACTCTAACATAGAGATAAAAAGTATAACATAGAGTTAAAGTGTTCGTTTGTCCGGTGCCGAAAATATCACAAGTCATGATCAAATGGCGCCGCCGAGCTTCACATCTCGGTTGATATACTCTGTGGCACAACGGCTGCCGAGCAACACAACTCGGTAGATTTACTTTGTGACACAACGGCCGCCGAGCTACACAATTCGGTAAATTTACTTTGTGGCACAACGACCTCCGAACTAAACCCGGTTTGATGCATGCACCAGGAGTCGCAGACATTTTCCAAAGACAGTGACGAACCATGCTGAAAAATATGAAGGCTTAATCCAAAGTAAAATTTAACAGCAAACTTCTGAAAGAACTACAAGGCATATATTAGTAAACAGACTTTTCATATCAACAGATATGAAGGTACTACAATTACAGTTTGAAAATCTAAGATGGTTGTCAATTTAAAGAATTTATTAAGCTTCTTCATCGAAGACGATTGGCTAAAATTTTTCAATAAATTAACCACGAACGTGATCGCAAACTCAAAGGGTAAATTGAAAATGCAGTTCAAAATACAAGGAAGAATTTAGAACAATAGTTTTTTAACTACAAAAACACCTATATAATCACTTATGCTTCAGATGACATTAGTTATGACATCATTACCCTTGGCACGTGTTTTTCACTCGTTTCCGCTACGTGCTGATTGGCGGAAATCAGACGGCTCAGTTTAAAGTTATCCACTGCCAAGAATTCGGTTAAAAACTCAAAGAAACACGCTTAAAACTGGTAAATATCGAAGGAAGACCAGATTAAGGCCAAAAATGTTAAATTGGACAAAATACTAAATATAAACAAGGATTTGTTATCTGCCAAAGGCTCTAATTAAACATATTTCATGAACAGAAGTGTTACCGCGGAGATGCACAAAATTGGTACATCTCCTTTGCACCGAATTCATGTCAGGAGAAACTTGCTATCGATCATCAATTAACTTAGGAACCAAACCTACTAGTAGTGAAGTAGATTACTCAAACCAATCAACAAGAACGCTTACAACAACTCATCTACAGACATACATCGTAGCAAATGTCACAAGTGGCTAACGTAACACCTCAATCAACTTTCTCCTTCAACAAGACCAAGGAGAATGAATCAACAGAAATCATTTTCTCATTTCGGGAGAGGATGTCGTTTGATCAGTGCTGATGCGTAGGAGTTGAACACCAAGTAAAATAAGTCAAATTGTTTTTTTTAATGATATTTTCCTTTACCTATAGATAATTCCCGAATCGATTGAATTTTGTAATAAATCCCAAACACCAAATAAAATTCCTTTGATAATTTAAAGTCAAAAACATGCGCACTGCGAACATTTTTCATCGCTTCCATTTTTATTGTTTAACATTTGGGTGCCATCCTTTTCTATAGTGGAATCCATTTAAACCTCTAAAATTATGAAAAAAAAAAAATATCGCCAATATCTGAATAGGCACAATTCACAAAAGATAAACGAATTCGCCTCGTTGGCACTTGCCGGAAGGAACCCCTAGTTATGAAATTATTTTTTGGGCAATCGAAATAAATATCACTTGACAATGACAATGAAATCACAGTAGTTTCAGCTCTAATTAATAACTGTGAAAACCAGATGTTATGTTACTTGCTATTCTGAGACTTTTTTTCATATGAAATGGCATATAACAGCAAGCCTTCACAGGAATTATGAATATCAAGATTACTTAGTGATAAAATAGGCTGAAGACATCTCATCTACGATCGAAGGGTTCGAGTTTTCAATCGACAAACTCTGTATTGTATTGTATTTTTCTTTTATCTCTTGTACGTTGTTTTTATTTTTCCTCCATGTAAGTTTAAGTATTTTCATTAGAAGTGTTGTAACCAATAAATGTTATACTTCCAGCAACAAATAAATTTTATACTTCCAGCAACAAATAAGTTCGAATTTTGCATGGTAAAATTGGAAATAAGAACAAACTTACCTGAAGTCGACGTTGAATTTTACCGACCGAACATGCACTAGCTATAGACCAATAGATCAATAGACAAATGGACCGTTTATTTAACCAAGCTTGCTTTCTTTATCAGCTTCTGCTATAAATTTACATTATTGTCGTTCATTAAAGTACGGCAAATGCGAGTTTGTACCATGTTTGTTTTGAGTTTGTACTTGGTGACCATGTTTTCGCTTTTGAGTGTTGTTTACTGGTCACCGTAACTTCACGAAAATCGGTAGATTCACGCAATTTCTATCCATAAGATTTGTTTTGAGCGATTTTAGCTGCTCGTCATTTCCTATTTCGAGAACTTCCTAACTTAAATCTCACGTTTGCCGTTGGCCGTTAACGCGACTCTAAATCTTTCTAAAAAAAAAAAAACGAACACATACACACAAAAATAATGGAAGGTATCTCTAAAGTCAAAATTAGACATTTTGTCTTCAAATAACTGACAGCTAGCTTATCTAGTTTGTTTGATTATGCATTAGCCCCTGGCTTCCACGCAGACGTTCTTCAAGGTTCCTTCCGCGTTGGGAAGGAACGCTTGACGAACTGTAAGTAAGGGTTATAAATCACATAACCACGAGCTGAAGGCCGATAAACGGCTTAGTTTTACATTGGCGAGGATTCCTCAAGGGATGCAAAAATACTTTGACGAAAAATGCCTCTATTGTTCATCTGTCTTTTGTTTCTTAACACTCCATGCTGGCACTGGTGGCATTCACAGGTTTCTCGGCGTTTTAATCATGTTAGTTTTTCAAAGTCGCCATAGTTAATTGAGTGGAATGGTTATGAAACCCGTCAGACTCCTTTGTTATATGTTTTTGTGGACCTGAAAGTGCACAACGTTGAAAAGAATTCCTATCATTTTGATTGTATTGACCAATAAAAACGTTGCATTAATTTATTCCGTAACAATTTGCCAACAGAAAACAAAGGATTGTGCACTTTCACGGTGCTTTGAACATAAACTGCAGCACTGTTGTTTTTATCATTGATGTTTGCCGCTTTTCATAACCAGTCTCCTCTAATAACTATGAAGTCGCATTTCAAATTAGTTGTTCGCAGTGAATGCTAGAAACAGCCTAAAGAGCCTAGCAGTTTCGAGCGATTCAAAGCCAGAAGTAGAGCCGTTTATTACTCAAACTAAAGCAGCTTCAGTGGCGGTACAGCAAGAGCTTTCGGAAAACAATTGGAATCTTCATTTGCGGGTGCAGAAATCGAGCAAGCAGTTGACCATTTCAATTTTCGCACCGAGGATCTTTCGACCGACTCGCATGTTTACAGACAAAGAAGATTCCGGGCGAGGGATCACTAC